CAGAAGATGGGGGGGAAGATCAAGAAAGGTAGAGTGGGAACAGAGTGGAATTCGTATGAAACGCATGAATAGTGGTGAAATGTCAGACAATGGATTGATGATGGATTGAAGATTTGCAAATTAACCGTTTACGATATGGTTTTCCTATTTTACTGAGTAACTCTGTAATTTTCGATAAATACAATTCGTTTGCCTTCACCTGTGTTCTTCTTCACTACACGCCTACTACATCCAATAGAATATAGACCACCAAACATTATTCTCCAACCTAAACCTCACTTTCTAGTTCTGTCCAATTTTTCGCTGTTCATTTTTCTCATGTCTATCTCCATTTCTCAGCGCTATGTGTTCCTTGGTCTTCCTACGTTTTCTTTAATCCTGAAAATTCCAAGTGAGGGCTTGTCTTGTGATGCAGTTAGGAACTTTCCTCAACGCGTTGTATCCTATCCACTTTCAGTTCTTTTTCCTGATTTATTCATCTGCTAGAATCTGGCTTGTTCTTTCCCACAGTACATTGTTATTGATGGTACCTGGCCAACGGATCCAAAGTATTTTGCGTAGACTTATTTTGTAGTTATCGAATTCTAGTTCTTTCCAGTTTTTGTTTATTCTTCGGATGTCTTTCTCTGTTTCTCGACGTAATGTGTTTCTTGGCCTTACTCTTGTCCTTTAATCTTGAGGGTGAGTGCTTGTCTTTCGACGCATTTCGGTGCTTTTCGCAGTGTGTGTCCTATCCACTTCCAGTGTTTCTTCCTGATTTCCTCCTCCACTGGAATCTGGTTTGTTCTCTCCCACAGCAGGTTGTTGCTGATAGTGTCTGGCCAACGAATCCGAAGTATTTTGCGTAGACAACTGTTAATAACCACTTGTATCTTCTGGATGTGATGGCTTTCGTAGTTCTCCAAGTTTCCGCTCCATACAGTAGAACTGTCTTGATATTTGTATTGAAAATTCTTGCTGCTATTGGTTGATAGTTGTTTGGAGTTCCACATGTTTATTCAATTGTCACAATGCAGCCCTTGCTTTGCCAATCAGTGCCTTCACATCTTATATCAGAAATATATTTATCAAGATGATTTACATGAGTATAGATAAAAGCTATCTGTTGGGGATGTTATATCCCAAAAAACTCGCTTGATAAATGCCTTAGTTTTTGGATTTCACGTTTGACAGCATGGACTGATCAGTTGACCTTGAGATTTCATTTCCCACCAGCAAAATCCATGGCTGTGATTGATTGGCTGCTGTGTATTTTAGTGTGCTATTTTCTTAACTTTCTCAAGGACGTTTCTATGTAGTATAAATACACGAGAGTTGTATGATTGATTGTACTGTGTTTGCTGGGTGTTTGTAGAATATACTTTCTACGCTTACAAAGCCTACCTGGACGCTGGTCAAAGTCTCGTTCGCGTTTATCGACTAAGGTTAAACTCGTAATAGCCTCAAGCATACTTAGTGACGAGCGTAACACTATCAAACACAGTATTTAATTCATTTGTGCATCAAACAAAAAAACTGGTAAGCAGCATTCAACGCGACAAATTGAAAAAACATAAGTCAGAATTACTGAAATTTCATTTTGACATGACATGACATCCGTTTATAGTAAGTAGTAGGTTTTGTTTGTAATTTCTTTGTTTTAATAAATTACCTTATCAATCAATGTTCAATAATTTCTATTTGTTCACATGTCATCTCTCTCTTTGTCTCTTCCTTTCTCCCTTTTCTTTATCAAATGTTATGTTATTGTCATTTGGGTCATTTGAAAAAAAAGGAACTTGTAAATCCTCCATCATTGGCTTCCTACACTATATCATTTTGGTTAATTCTAATTTATCCAATATACCTCATTATAAATTTCTTATTTCATTTGGAAGAATTAACAATCACTGAAATGATTATGTGAGTGTTGACAGTATATATATATTTTTACAAACTTATTTTCATATATGTGTTTTCCTTATTGTGTTTTCAATACAAAGCTATATTTTAGACGATATTGGGTGTGAGGCAGGTATCATTCATGTCAGTGAATCCAGTCAGTCAGTTGCAACGTAAGAACTTCGTACGTATGTACAGAAGTTCATGTTGCTGCCATACCACATTAGCACAGAGACGTAAATATCAAATCAAATCCCATAGTGATAAAGATAGTAGAGGCATTATTGCTAATGAAGAAGAAGACTACGGATTGCAGATATTATTCAAGAAGTATAATTCAGTGAGATAAGGTTAGAAAGACAAAGGTAGAGGTGCTGGATAATCCAGAAGATTAAGATTTGAGAGAGCACAACGAATGGATGCACTTGCGCCATTGCAAACGATTTTGAGCCATGTCGTTCAAGGTCTCTAACCATTGGTGACCTTCGTCTCGCGGACCCCAACCAGGTAGTCGACAACAAACGACATGGCTCAGTCCACTTGTCAATGACTTCTTCCAACCTACTCCTACACCACAAAGGAAAGCTCATCTAGGCAGTTTGTGGTTAGGCATTCGTAACACATGTCCCAACCATCTCAACTGATGGTGTTTCATTACTTCATCTATTGATCTGCTATCCTTACCTAGTACCTGTTTCCTAACAACAGCATTGCTTACTCGGTTGTCCCACGGTATACGAGCAATGCTTCTTAAACATCTATGATCGAATACCGGTACCAACGAATATCTCCTACTCTTACCAGCCATGTTTCGCATCCATATAGGAGAATAGAGCGAACTGCTGCGCAGTACACTCGTCCTTTGGTTAGGAAGTGGATATCTCGCCTACACCATAAGTGACAGGTTGGCAAAAGCCAATCGAGCTTTTTGTATCCGTGCTGAGATTTCTTCACACATTAGGCCATCAGCATTGATGAGACTCCCCAGATAAGTGAAGTGATCAACACCTTCGACTACTTGACTCCCTATCACTAGTTCAGGTGCCGATGCAAGCCAATGCTGAAGCAACTGTTTTCATTTCGATGGGGAAAACCACATCCCGCACATGCTCGAATTGTTGCTTCTGGTAGTCAGAAGACTCTGCATCTTGTCAGCGTCTTCACCGAATAGAACTATGTCATCGGCATATTCTAGATCAGTAAGCGAAGGTCAACCCCTGAAAAATCTGACGAGCTTAATGTTAACTCTAAGAGGATGTCTACGACAAAGTTAGAAAAGAATGGAGAGATTGGACATCCCTGATGGGCACCACTTGATGTAGAGAATTCCGGTGACAGTTCGCCATAAGCTCTCACTCTACCAGTAGTGTTCGAGATGAGTGCTTGTATAAGGTTAATGTACTTCTTTGGTACACCTTTCAACATGTCAATAAATGAAAGTTGAATGTTAACTTCCTGACCTAGATGTAAGTTACTCGCCATGAAACTAGAAGATGTTGGATTTTAACCCGTGCTTGATTGGGTAGTATGTGGCTACTGTTAACAATTTTCACAACAGTATAAAATAACTACCTTATTCTTCCTGGTATTCAGTGATTGATTACCTGACTAAAATTAGTTCATTTTGTACGCAGTTCACTGAACACTATCAACAAAACATGGTTTTTCAAGCATAATCGCATACTCAGTAGCTATTGACTTTGAGAGAATTGAACTAAGTTCTAGTGAAAAGCCATAACTAGCCATTTTGTCTTAGCGTCCATCATAGATCCTGCAAGAAAAGAGGTCTCACCTGTGGAGGCTTGACCTTTTGACCACTGAGCTGGCCATATAACGGTTTTTAATGCCTGATCCATTGTGAGTAAGAGCCTCACGCTGGACACGGTTAAACTGCATTGATCCACGGTTTCTTACTAGAACTCCAAGAATTACCTTACAATTCTAGTCACCAGTAAGCTTCGGCTCAAGCTAAAAGTGAACCGGAATATCCACTAACTTGTTTGACCAGTATAGGTGACTTGGTCACGTTTTGTTTAATACTTTTGTTCTTACCAACTTTGTATTGAGCACTTCATTTGACAAGTCTTTACGGACATACCATTCGTCCTTAGTGGATTGTGAGGTCACGAAAACTAAATGATGATGTTCCAGAGAAAACGATTATCGTACTTATGAGATAATTTCTTAGAGCTGTAGAGTGGTAGTATTTATAGTTACCTTGTCAGTCAGTCAGTTAGTCAGATGCAACGTAGAACTTAGTACGTAAGTACATCAGTCAGTTCATGCTGCCATACCACATCAGCACAGAGATGTAATTGTCAATTCAAATCCAATAGTAGTAGAAGAGGTAGTAAAGGTATTGGAAGTAATCATAGAGGTTAGGATTACAAGATATTATTCAAGAAGTATGATTCAATGAGAAAAGTTTAGAAAGTCAAAACTAGATGTGTTGAAGAAGAAGAAGAAGATTAGAATTTGAGAGAGCTCAACGAATGGATGCACCGGCGCCATTGCAAACGATTCTGAGCCATGTCATTCAGGGTATCTAACCATCGACTATTATCATCTCGCGGACCCCAACCAGGTAGTCGACAATTACCGACATGGCTAAGTCCATTTGTCAATGACTTCATGGATTTGTGCCATGTTTTGGTTTGGCCACCCCTAGCTTTCTTCCAATCTACTTCTACACTGCAAAACATAGCTCGTCGAGGCATGTCCCAAACACCTCAACTGATGAAGATTCACTACTTCATCTATTGATCTGCCATCCCTACCTAGAACTCGTTTCCTAAGGACAGCATTGCTCACTGGGTTGTCCCATGATACACGACCAATGCTTCGGAGATATCGATGATCGAAAACTAGTAAGTAACCTGTCCATACCATTTTACACATATATTATCACTGATATTATCAAGAAGGAAATTCTGTACGTTGAGACGCCGGTAGAAACTTGTTATAATGCCTATTTTATTTGCGAAAGTTTAATTTTCCGAATAATGATCAGTAAAATGTTAACTTTTATTTAGAACGAGTATTTTATCGATCACTCAAAATGTTTCCCCCTATTCTTTCACTTTCTTTCTTCCTTTCTTTAAAACTTCATTTTCATTCAGGCATCATGCTATTATTGTTGCAAGTGATCAACCGAAACTAATGAAAATTTTTATTAGATGTAGTGTACTTTCAAGTTTATGGCAAATATTTATACATTGTTTTATTCGTAGTCTGAGAATCATCACACCAATTGATTGTGCTGCTATTACAGCTGTACTACCATGTTTTTTATATTTATTATGTTGGATTATTGTACATAGACGATTTTGTGCTTTACGAGTAAGTTTTATACTATACTTTCTCATTTTTAATATTATGGACATATAAAATTATTGTAGTATGCATAAAAATGTATCTATTGTGTTGGGGATGTTAGATCTCCAACACAACTCGCTTGATCAATGCCTTATTGTTTGGTTTTCACGTTTTGCCAGCATGGGCTGGCTGATCAGATGACCTTGAGATTTCAATTCCCACAAAGAAAATCGATTGCTGTGATTGGGTGGAGTGTATTTTAGTATGCTATTTTCTTAACTGTCTCAAGGACGTTCCTATGTTGTATAAATAAACGAGAGTTGTATGCTTGATGGTACTGTGATTGCTGGGTGTTCGCAGAATATACTTTCTACGCCCACAAAGCCTTTTCACGTCAGCCTCGGATTATAGGTAGCCTACCTGGAGGCTGGTTTATTGTCTAGTTCGCGTTTGTCGACTAAGGTAAACTCGTACTAAGTGACGAACTTATCAGTGGCGACGGTGCTTTTGGAAATGTGGATCCTGCCAAACTTGAATTAATACTTGAGCAGCAGCGGAAACTGATGCAGATGTTAACAGACATGAAGATTCCCACTTCCACACAGCCCAGCTCGTCTTATGCAACCACAGCTCCATCGGTAGACGAATCACAAATAGCATAGCTGAATTTCATTATGACCTTGATGCAAATGTCACTTTTGACATGTGGTTCCGGCGTTATGAAGATTTATTTAAATTTGATTTCGCCAACCAAGATGATGCTTGGAAGGTTCGGCTGCTACTTCGAAAGTTGGGCGCAAGTGAGGTGGATAAGTACTGCAATTTGATCCTGCCTTTGAACCCACGAGATTGTTCATTTTCTGAGACTGTTCAGACTTTAAGCCAACATTTTGGCGATAACTCGTCACTGTTTAATACTCGATATCGATGTTTGAATCTAATTATGAACGAAGATGATGACTTTCTTACGCATGTGGGCATCGTCAACCGTGAATGCGAACGCTTTCGGTTGAAGTC